CAGTAACAGTACTACCACTTGGCCTTCTGATTCCAAGCCTCATACTACCATGCCACCTTTCATTTGACATTAGTTAGGACACACAAGTAACCGCCATGCACATGATGCTATAGACAGTGCAAGAATAAAAGCAGTAGGGTCCCCCTGCTTCAGTTTATAAAGTCGTTTTTTTTTTTTAAAGGACTGGTATATCTCAGTCCACAAACATAAATTTTATTTAATTAAAATAAATTGCCAGAGGACCAAGTGCTATAGAAATGTACGTTTTGGGTGAGGGATGAGAAGATGGGAAGGCGTCTCAGAGGAGAACAAACTAGTTTGGCCTTGGGAGAATGAGTAGGAGTCTCATGGGCAGAGATGAGACATTGCAGGTAATGTCAACACAGGCGAAGAGGAGAGGCATGCAGCACAAACAGCTGGAAAGCAGGTTGGAATGAGGTCTTGAAAGTCAGACTTGGTATGCGAGGGTGGCTGTGGGAAATGTTTATGCAGGGCGGGGGTAGTAGTGCTGTGATTAGAAACTCAAGGGCAATGACTGTCTCATGGTGGTAGGGTAAGATGGAAGAGGAGAAAGACTGTGGGTGGCAGTAGCAGCTAGGAGCCTGTCACACCATACAGCAGCTGAGAGTATCTGAAATGGGTCAGTGACAGGAAAGAAGAGAAGAGCAGAGGGTTTCATAGACTAGGTTTGCTACTATTTTTAATGACAGATTATTTTCTTTCTGGAAAAGAAAGGAAGCATTCAAGTGAATGACAAGGTACAGTTGAAAGGTTGATCAGTTGTGAAGCCATCCTTCCTACATAAAGACGGTAGTCATGGCTTATCATTCATTCTACCCATTCATTTGCACTGGCTCCTGACCATGAATTTGCAAAACAGGTGGCACAGAATAACAGTACACTCTCTGATCATGGGTCGGAGCAAAACATTCAGCATATTCAATGAATGGAATAGTTGAAAAAAGTGTCCATAACTACAGTGACAGAGCTACAACTTGAAAACATACTCTGGCTCCTTAGCCCAGGGTTCTGTCCACTACTGCACAGCTAAAATGTCTGCTTAATTGGATTGACAATGAAAGGAGATGACTGGCTAGAGTGGTGGGTGCTATGTTTCTGTCACAAGCAACTAGTGGCTGATACAATGGTTGGCTTTCAGATGCATCAAAAAGAAAGTCCTCCTCCAACTTTATTGCACAACAGTTTGTCTTAATATATATTAGTTTGGGTCCCTGCAGTTCTGAATTGTTCAGAGCCACCCCATCGCCTCATTTCATAACCAATGAGCTTGTGTTAGGATGGTTCAGCTGCTAGCCTGTGATCGCATTATAAGTACTGATCGTATCTATCTGGGATGTGTAGAATCTGCATGAGCTGAAAGAAAGGGGTTCCTGAAGATCACCAGCGCATTCAGTCTCAGTCTCACTGAACAAAGCTTCTATGCTGGTATGAACATGAGGAAGAACAAAAATGGAACACTGCCTCCCCGGCCAGTCAGAGAAAGTTTTAAGATATAGGGACCACAACGGTGTCACTGGTAGCCTAACGAGGTTATATACATTGACTCTGTTTTTTTTTTTTTTTAGATGTGTTATGAGTGTTTCCCTACATGTACATATGTGCACCATGTGCATGCCTAGTACCAAAAGAGGTCAGAATAGGGCACCAGATCCCCAGGAACTGGAGTTACTGGTTATGAACTGCCATGTGGGACCGAACTACCATGTGCAGACCAAACCCTGGTCCTCTGCAGGAGGAGCAGCCACTGCTCTTAAGCACTGAGTCGTCTCTCTAGCCCCTTGACTTTGCTATTCTAAGGGAAGATTAGAGGTTAGGAGTCTTAGAAGAAAGTTCTTCTTTTTCATTTTCCACATTTGATAGTTAAGCCAACAAACCAACATAACAAGATAGGGTTCCTCTTCCTAGTTCAAGTACTTTTAGTAAGCCAAGGGCCTGTTTCCCTCTAGATGTCTCTAGCACTCAGTCATTTCCTTGTTAGGACTGCTGAGTTCTCCTATGTGATATGTGCTAAGAACTAGCACAGTATCTGGTGCATTATGGTTGATCAACAAATGGGCAATAAATTAGCCTATATCCTAGAATGCCTGAATAGGATAGAGAATAGGAATGGGACAATGACAAAGAATGGAGCTGCTTCTTGCATTCTTTTTTTAAATTTACTTATTTATTATGTTTACAACATTCTGCCTCCATGTATGCCTGCACAAGCAGAAGAGGGCACCAGATCACATTACAGATGGTTGTGAGCCACCATGTGGTTGCTGGGAATTGAACTCAGGACCTCTGGAAGAGTAGTTAGTGTTCTCAACTTCTGAGCTATCTCTCCAGCCCCTGCTTCTTGCATTCTAAACTCCAAGTAGGTTTTTTTTTTTGCCAGCTTGCTGCCGACTATCATTTGTTTTGTGTATCCCCTGTCCCTCCATCTTGCCTGGCCAGGGGAAAG